CTGAAATAAAACGAAAAATAACGACGCATGTTTATTCTCGTGAACGAGAGACTCACGGACCGAGTCGTGGACGATGGTTTTTCCACGTACCATACGCTTTCGAACTACGTACGTGCATATACATTTGTCGCAATCGGAATTCACGCGACAAAGTTAAAACAAAGCTGGTTGTTGCGACATGACGAGGCGTGGTTTTTATGCGGTCGTTATTATCATATTATTTACCGCGGCCAGCAAAATCTCGTGTGTACACACAGGTATCTTATTTCTGGTTATTGATCAGAGGCGTGATACGCTACACATGTCCAGCGACGAGAGAGAGAGAGAGAGAGAGAGAGAGAGAGAGAGAGAGAGAGAGAGAGAGGTTGGCCGGGGCATTTATTACGCGCGCGCTCCGAGATCGGTAGAAATGTAAAGGCGTTCTCGATGAATATGGATGGGAAATATAAAAACGTTTCGATAACAAAGTCTATTCTACCTGTGTACAGTCATTTGATCTCTTCCACTCGCGCGTTTTTCTCTTTCCCATTTCATTCCCCCCCCCCCCCCCCCCCCCCCCTCCCTCGACTTTTCACTCCGTCGAACGACGCGGAAAAGTGCAGAAACTCGCGCTCGTGTCCTTTCATTCTTTCTACTTCTCTCCCCTTTTCTGTCCTCTTTCTCTTCGGTTCTTCGTTTTCTTCTTCACGGTATTTGCTCTTTCCTTCTCACTCGAGAGAGAGAAAGAGAGATATGCGTGCGTATCAGAGCGACGCACAATCGAACAATCTTCGCGAACGAGCACGTGAAAGAAAAAAGAAGGTGAAAAAGTAGATGATTTTATTTCTTTCACCTCGCTGTCTCTCGCGGTATCCTTCTGCACTCGTTACCCTTGCCGGGGAACGAGTTTCATCGAAGGATGCAACACAACGGGGAGCCGATGTTGACCCAATTCGAAGTTGAAGTCGTAGTTTTGTAAGATTCGGGTAAAACCGACGAGAGGAACACACGGACGGAGCGAAGATTCGCGCTCCATTTCGGCTGGACAATCGATCGGTTACGCACCCCTTAATTACGTAACGCTCGTGCAACAACGCGATTCACGCGATCAACGATCCTCGACGCACCACGCGCTCGCTGTTAATTATCACGCGCCTCTCGAGATTACTCGGTATTTTTGGCGTGAACCGTGGCGCGGCACGCTCGGCAACGCGCACCTAGAATCCGCGGATTATTCTCGGAGAGGGTGACAGAGCTCGAATATCTAATTGATTATTAAGAACGTATGAACGCGATCGAAATATCAGAGGATACGACGAGAAGCTGCACGGTATATCAACTGTCGAAATTGGAACCAAAAGTGTATCCGATAGCCGTGAAATAAAAAAAAAAAAAAAACTATAGTCGAGGTGGTTGATCAAAAAGTGATTGCTTTTTTCCCCCAATAGATGGACATACGTGACTAACTTTTGTAGCGATTATGATAATTTAAATTTATATCACAATACTACAAATAAATAATGACTCCGTAATTAATTTTAGTTGTTTATATAAAAACATTATCAATATAACAAAATATATAATTACTAATAATTTAACGAAGATTAAATAATGAAAGTTAAATAACGAACGAATAATTTCTACTATGGTTACAATATGTATAAGTGTCTGTAAACATTTCCATGGTGATAATAAAATTACTAATTATTTTTAAATATTCTATTATTTATATTAAATACACATCTCGGCAGAACGATTTAATGAATATAAATATCGTTGATCTAAATACTTCAAAGTAGAGGTCGCTACACTTTGTTTCGAACAGATTTTTATGCAATCTGATGGCTGATCGTTCGAGCTTGCACGCTCTCGTTCGGTGGAAACATTTTCGTCGTTTGAAGAGGAAAAGAACTCATCGTCATTATGAGCTCGAGCTCGTGAAAAATTGTCTGTATGGCGAAGAGATCAAACTACGCCAAGCTACTACAAGTGTCAGAATTGACTTGCTAAATTTGATGAGAATTATCAAATCGTCCTTGGAGTTGTTTCTTCTTCGTGAAAAAACGTGGTTTTTCGTTTGAACGCAGACACTTGCTGGCCGACCTAATATTACAGAATATTACGGATGAAAATTATTTTGCGCCGAGAGAGACTTGTAATTGACGAGCAATTGAAGAAAGATGTAAATTTGGAAGTTCTTGATCGCAAACGTTCAACTTGGAACATTCGAATCGACGAAATCCGATCGTCTGTCAAATTTTCGTGTGTCAGCCACTTGGGTTCTACCATGGTCTCTTCATCCCAATCGACAAATCACACACCAAATTTTATCGATAACGAGACATCTATTCAACATCTAAATCGGCGAACCGACATAATTATCTATAAGTAGATAAACTGTTACACGCGAATAATCCAATCGAATAACACAAGAACTAAATAACAATTTTCTCTCGCTCTCTCTCTTTCTCTCTCTCTCTCTCTCTCTCTATTGCATTGATATATTCCCAACATCACTTGAATTTAATCTCTTTTCGACTTTTCAAAGAGCAAGCAAGACCTTTTAACCACTTGCGCCGGCAACTGATTGCGGACCATAACGAACGACCAAACCGTATACAATAATTCGTCGCTTTCTTTTTCTTTCGAACTCGTCGGTATGATATCACTGGATAGAAATTATTGAGAAGTAACAAATTTATTATTTGTTTTTCGTGTGTATTTGGTTGTATCTAAATACATTTACTGAAAAAATATTGCAATTCTGGGGACTTGCGCCGGCAACTGATTGCGGACCGTAACGAGTGACCAAAACCGTAACGAGTGACCAAACCGTACACAATAATTCGTCGCTTTCTTTTTGAACTCGTCGGTATGATACCACTGGATAGAAATTATTGGAGACCTAATAAATTTACTATTTGTTTTTCCTATACTTAAATATACTTAAAACTGAGAGGATACTGCAATTTTGGGACAAAAAGTTCACGACGTGCGTGGCAAGAGGTTAATAACCGAATTCCCGCAAGAAGGCGATTGTTGCACAGTTCGAGGAACGTAAATAGTTAATGACCCGGCGAGTAATAATTTCACGGCGAGTAAGAAACTTTCGGAGTCCTCTTGTCGCTTGAAACATCGTTGTTTCGGTCCCAAACGTTCCCTTTGTTGATAATTCCCTACGCGTAGATAGCCCAGAAGTTGATATATATAAACTTTGTTACAACTATCTCTATTATTCTGATATCGTTGCACGTGAGGCTACGAGAGCCGGGTAAAGCTGGGAGAGAGAGAGAGAGAGTAAAGCTCCTCGATTCCTGGAATTTCGCCTGTGCTAAACACAACCACGGGCATTGTGCTCGGCTAGACAATGTAACGTTGACAGTCGTGTTTTATTTCGGGAGTTAGTTAGCCCAACTAACCTCGCGACGCTTTAACGCGGCGTTCTATGCTAGTACAGCATGTAGTTATGTCTAGACAGAATTTCATGGCATTTGAACATATGTGTGTATGTATATATATATACATATTTCGAGTTTCGAGAAAAATTCGTGCAATTTATCGCTCGCGCGAATGATTAGTACAGACGTAAAAAAAAAAAAAAAAAGAAAAAAAAAGGTGAAAGGTGTATTTGTCGAGAAAGGTCCGATCAAACGCAATGGTTCGATTTATTATTCACGGTCGTTAAATCGTCAGAGGTCGGGGAGTAGCTCGATGGCACTGAAGGTGCATCGGTGCAACGTGATTCGATCGAACGAGTGGGAAGAGGTTAAACAACGAGGCTCGCTCTGCGCGAGTGGCCCTACAATAAAAATGCCATTAGGTCGATTTTAATTAAGGACACGGTGAAAGATTTATCCCGGCTCCCATCGCCCCTCGCGCTCCGATTTAGCTGTTTATGCAAACCAGCGACTTCGCCCTTTGATGTCGACGCTTTGCGGTGCTGGCTCTCTGCGGCTGCACGTTTTCCAGGCGGAGCGGTACTTTCCGATCTCGAGCAGGCCCATCCGCGAGCCGGAAAATGGAAAATTGAAACGTGAGGCTCCCTAACGCGAGACGGCACTCGGACAATTGGAAATTTATGAGACAAAGAAGAAAAATAAACACCGTGAGAATCTTGCACTTTTGCCACGCGAATTTCAAATACATATCGCGCCGCCTGAAAACGAATCTCCTCTTCCTCGAGACGCAGGATAAGCAAGGCCAGTCACGTTTCAGAGAATTGTTTCCCACCCTGTTGCGGCGGGAGGGAGGAGATCGAAATTCGGTCGAAAGCGTCAAGTGGTCGACCGTGGAAGAAATGACGAATTGGTTCGGGATTTTCGAGAGGGTCCAGGCCTGCTGCCTGGTGACGACGAAGACGGCGAGGTCGATGACGACACGAAAGGCAGGAAAGAGGCCTGAAGTAAATGGAAACTCGAAGAAGAAGAGGGTAGCGGCGTGAAGGGGGGAAACAGGCACAGTCAAGGGAGGGTCACTGGGTCAGATGCGTTGCATGCCTCCCTCTCTTTCTCTGCCACCCTAGTTCGTATTCCCCGTTCTCTCGCTCTGTTTCTTTCGCTTTCTCTCCCTCGTGTCCGTTCGTTCTCTCTTCCTCTTTCAATCTGTCACTCTCACCGCCGATCTCCGTCTCTTTCGCCGGGAACACATGGCCCCGCGTGTGCACACGGACTGTCTGGCAGGAACACGCACGCACGCACGCACCTTATCGTTCGAGCACATGCTGCGCACAGATTAGGTTGAACTGAGACGACCAGCGTGCTAGTACGCGTTCGGTATTAATTTCCACGTGGATTACGTGGGATTAATTCGAAACGAGGCACAAGGTATGACAGGATGAAAGGTAAAGAGTATTGCAAGATGAATGTGAATCTGAATTTTTGACGACGTGGTAGTCGTGGTAGATCGGGGACCGTAGAAGAGAAGCGGAGTCGAGGGAAGTGGTGTGGCGAGTGTGTACACCGGTGCACCGGTATCCTCTTCTCTCTGAACACGAGAGTCACGTGCTCGTGCGTCTCACTCACCTGCCAAGCGTGCTCATATCATCCTGCTCGCGCGCTGGTAGCTTCGATCACCACGAACGTTGGACGTCTTCGTAGCACTTGTCACGTAATTACGAGAGAATACGTTGTACGCTGAGTAGTTGACACCTCCGCACTGAAACGAACCCCGAGCACTTGAACGAGAGGCGACGATCCGAGGCTGCGGAGGACGAACGTGCGTCGACCGATCTCGCTGGTCAAACAGACGCACTCGACCCGCGGCGACGATCGATCGGCGAATACTCGGTTTCACTGGCCGGCGACGTGTAACCGACAATGATATTGGCGTTGACGACAAGCACGGACAACACTCCAGGGCTTCGTGACGAACACCACCGGCCGGTCCCAAACGAACGCCGTTTACGTCATGGTTCTTGATGATGGAGGAGGTTCCCGTCGCGACGTGACCCGCTGATCTATCTCTCACTCACAGCAAGATGGGAAGATCGATGTAGCCTCCGGTTGAAGAGAGAGAGTGAGAAAGCGCGCGCGGACGCGCGCGCACACACACACACGCACAAACGCACGCACGCACGCACGATTAGAAATTCCAGTTGATCCAGCGGTTGTCTTTGACTCGGCGATCTTCCGAGTTGGCGAACGGAAGAGAACCAGCCGAAGCGGAAGAAGGGCGACGAGGGACGAGCCAAGGTGAACGAGAACGATCGACGACACCGGCTTCAAACGATCCGTTTCGCGATTTTCGACACTGTTGTAACGCGCGAGAACACGCCGCTCTGAAACGCGTCGACGACGACGGCGACGACGACAACGGTGAGCAGCAGAACAGCAGCCAGCAACAGTAGCGGTAGCGGTAGCGGTAGCAGCAGTAGGCCGCGAGAGCGAGAGAACGAGCGAGCGAGCGAGAGAGAGAGAGAGAGAGAGAAAGAGAGAGAGAAAGAGAGAGAGAGTCGGTGGTGGAAGAAACCCCCCCTCGAGCAGCGGGCATACAATGGGAATAATCACCGCGTCTCGGAGCGTCGGCTGACTGACTGAAGCCCCCGAGGACCGAACGGGATGAGATTCGGAGGCGCTGCCTCTGGTGGTGGCCGGCGCGGCGCGCCGCGCCACTCCGCGCCACTCCGCACCGCTTCGGCGCCCGCGCTGCGCCGCTCTCTCTCGCCACCCCGCCGCGCTCCTAGCCCAGCGTGTGTTCGTTCGTCTTTTCTCTCGGTCTCCCGCGCTCTCTCCCTCTTCCTTTTGCTTTTGTTACTCGGGCTCGTTTCCTCCTCGTCGCGCGCGTACACGCTCACCGCCGCGCGGCTGCCCCTTCCTCTTTCCTTCTTCGATCCGCTACTACGCGCGATCCGCTCGTCGACGCCGGAGATCGTGTCTTCTCACTCTGTTGGTCGCGTGGCACGTTCGTTGCTTCCTTCTCCTTCTAACTGGCTTTCCCTCTCTCTGTCGCACCGGCGCGGTTGTTCGTTCTGCGTCACGGTCGGTTCTGACGCGCGCGGCCGCCGCCGCCGCCGCCGCCGCCGCCAGGCGGTGGCGGTGGCTTCTCTCCGCTGCCACGCCCCTTTTCACTCGTACGTCCCGCCTTCTTCCTCCGACACCCACGCGAACGCGCGCGCTCTACCCGCTCACTGCCAGAACCACCACCACTACCGCCGCCGCCGCCACCACCACCACCACCATCGCCACCACCACCAGCACCACCACCACCGCCGCCGCCGCCGCCGTCGCCGCCGCCTCCACCACCCGTCAGCGTCGTCCTCGTTCACGTCCTCGTTCTTGTCTTCGTCCTCGTCTTCGTCCTCGTCCTTGTCTACGCTTTCGTCTCCGACTTCTTTGCTCCGCTACTCTATCATCCTTGTAGTCGTCGCCGTCGTCGTTGTCTTCGTGTTGCGCCGCCGCCGCCGCCGCCGCCCGTTGTCATCCGCTTCCCCGAGCATTTCCGTTCACCTGTGCACGCCCGTCTACCTTCCCTTTTCCTCAATCCTTCATCCCGTCCGTTGTTCTTATCTAGACCGCGTAACGAGATGCCCCACCGTTTCTGTCCCTTTTCGACGAGCTGGACTTGCTAGCAGCCCCGATCGTGTCTCGTGACGCTTCGCCTTTGTTTTCAGCGGATTCTTGAATTTCTAAGTTCTCGCTTTCGCGGAGAAGGGACAAAAGCGCAAGGAAAGAGAAGAAGAGAAAGAGTCATCGCGTGTCATTCGAAGACAGTAAACGCCGTGGCGACGTCTGCCACCCCTGAAATTTCCATCGTTTCGTAATCAATTCCTTTGGACACATCGAAATTCGCAACGAAGCGTCAGAGAATGGATAATATTTGCTAGAAATCCTTCCCAAGTTCGAGCGGAAAATTTCCAATACGACGGCGTCGATTCGTTTGGAGTTTGCCGATTTGGATTGGCGAATGAAAAGGCTTGATAGCGACGCGGACGACGCGACTGGCGCTGGAGTCACGCCGGATCAGGTGCGGCGCTGCGCATTGTCTATTGTTTCGGTCGGAGGCGGCGGTCGCGGCACAACCCCCGGCCGCCGGTGACGGCCCTACGACGGAACCGTGGAGGTGGTGGAAGCCGACCAATGAGAGCCGAGGCACACCCGCGCAAATCACAATGCTTATTGTTGTCGCCGTGCTGTCCGCCCACATCCCTGAATCGTTTCTTCCACCTCCGCCGGGGCTCCGGCTCCTGCAGTTCGGTCAGGTAGAAATCTCTGCAGATGAGCAGTTGCGACGCCCTTTTGTTAACCTGCGCCGGAATGACGTGCCACGCACGCCGAGAATTTTTTTTGTCCCAAATTGCAACATTTTCGTAGCTTCAAGTATATTTAGATGTAACGCAGGAAAAAAAATGATAAGTTTGTTGCTTCTTAATCGGCGAGATCAAGAGGAAAAGACTGCGACAAGGTTGTTGTGGTTCGCGAACCAGTTGCCAGCGCAAAGGATTAATATCGTTGACAAATAACGTAATACTTGTACACGAACAACAGCATTCAACGCGTTCGATTTTATTTGCGAAAGAATTCGAGAAATGGAGATTGAAACTAAAAGTCGACAAGCCAAAAGTTAGCCACTAGTAAGATAGAAAGTAGAAAAAAAAAAACGCGATCCTGAAAAAAAAATCTGATAGCTAGTGGTGTGTACGAATGATTCCTTGGCTCTGGTCGTTCAGTTTCAGCCGAGTCGCGTACAATCTGCCGGTTGCATTCGCCTTCGTCGTCGCGGCTGTGTCAGATAGAATATCCTGTCTCGTCTCCATCTCGCGCGCGTGCGAGAGCAGGTACAGATCGTGCATGTGGTGCGTTGGCTGTGTGTAAGGGTGGCAGCGCTCAATCCTCCCTCCCTCCCTCCCTCCCTCCCGCTGGCGCCCCGCGCCACCCTCGCTGTTCCTACCGGCGGCGAGAGGAATGGACGAGAATGGCGTCGGCGCGCATCCCTTTCATGTCCTCCGCAGAACCCATTCCTCCCCCTCTGCCCGCGACTGCTGCTACTCGTCCTCCGCACCAATGCACCCTTGACTTGCGCCCCTTACCATCCCCACCGGCGCGCTAAACAGAACAGAGACACGTATATACGCGTGCGTTCGCGCGCGCGCTATCCTATACGCGTGTACACGCTTCTCTCTCACGTACGTATCACGAGGCGTACGAGGTTCGTCCACTACTTCACGGATGCGCCCTTTTTATCGACGGCCACAAAACGCGGCGATGCGCTTTTTCCTTCGTGGACCACCACCACCACCACCACCACCACTACCACGTGCAACCCTCTCCCCAAAATGCGGTCCTCGAACCGTTTTGCCAAGATTATTTCGATTCAGAGCGCTGAACGCCGCACTCGAGACGCGTATACACGCGTTTCCCCGCTGAAAGCCGTGGCAGCAGTTTGTATTTCCTCTCGACCTTGCAGACACGGAACGCCGATTAATTAACTATGAAAAATTTTCATTCCGACTTCACGCGGGATCACCATCTGCCCCGATTCCTTTTTCCGCTCGTTGGCGGGAAATGTACGAAATTTGGAAAAGAGTTACCATTTTCCTTTTCCACTCGTCACACGGTGACTCTGTGTTACTTCCATGCGGCAATATTCCATCGGTAACGTGCTTAGTCGCCACGACAACTGCTTTTTATTTGATTCGGTACCTCGACGAGCGCGCAAAGAGTTTCTAATTGTGATCGTTTTGTTACGATTGGCGAACGATGCGTGAAGCCTGAATTGTTGAACGATGGAGAAACCAATGCTCTGACTAAGAAAGGAACTGCCTTATTATCTTTGTTCTGTTACTTTTGATTAAATTTCCTTTTTTTTCTTTAAATTCCTGTAAGACGTTGATTTATTACCATTCGTGTCGGAAACGGATATGGCAAGGCACAATAATTTTTTACAAAGAGGCAAAGGTGTATTTATGTAGAAGTCGAGAATAATAGTAGGTTTCTACTGTAAGTAGATTAGGTTGCGTTCTTAATTAGACACACAGACGGTAGACTCAAATGCAACAATCGTTTTTTAACGAGAGTTAAAAACAGACCGTCATCGTACGACACAATTCGAATTGTTTTCATTTAAAATCACGTCGAGAATCTACCGTAAGTAGATTAGGTAGTGTTTCTAGTTAGACAACCAATGCTCGCCAATACATCAAGTTAATCAACAATGAATATCTCAAAACAACGAATTCTTGTCGACAAAAATCACGTTAAAAATCGCACGTTAAAATTTTACCGTAAATAAATTGGGTAGTTCCTAGCCAGACAATCATCAACACTCGCCAATAATCAATAATCTCTTTCCGATGCAATGAATATCTGAAAATGACAAACAGTTCACTCTCGAACGACACAATTAATCGAATATCTCATCGTTGAAAATCACGTCGATTTTAAATTGCGGTGGATTTCTACTGTAAGTAGAAATGTTACAGTACAGTGTCCCTAGTCAGACAATCACACTCGCCAGTAGATCCAGTCATAGCAACGAGTATCTCTAAATAACGGAATGTGACGTACAGACAAGTCCTGAACAACATGGTTAATCGAATTCTTATCGATTGCGGTAGATTTCTAGCGTAAATAAATTAAGTAGTTTCTCGTCAGACAAACACTCGGTAGTAAACTCATCTACAGCAATTATTTTTCAACTCAGAATATCTCAAAATAATAGAATGCGACATACAGACGATCTCTAAATTCTTATCGATGAAAATTACCTTAAAAATTGCTTTAAATTTTTACTTTAAATGGATTAGGTAGTGTTCCCAGTCAGACGACTAACGCTCGTTGATAGATTCAAATACGATAATTAATTTCCAATGAATATCTCAAAATAATGGAATGTGACGTGCAAAGAATCCCTGAACAACATAATTAATGAAATTTTCATCGACGAAAATTAACTTGAAAATTTTACTGTAAATAGATTGGGTAGTCCTATTCAGACAACGCTCGCCAATACAAGGTAATCAATAATAAGTATCTCAAAACAAGTTAATCATCCAACGAGTATCTTAAAACAACGTATGTGATATGTGACGTACAAACAATCACCAAGCAACATGATTAATCGAATTCTTATCGACGAAAATTATCTGAAAAATTGCGGTAGATTTTTACTGTAAGTGGATTAGGTAGTGTTTCTAGTCAGACAACCAACGCTCGTTAGTAGATCCAGCTACAGCAATTAATTTCCACTGAATATCTGAAATTAATGGAACAACATGGTCAACCAAACTCTTATCGTTGAAAATCACGTTACACACGAAATTTACAATTAGAAAACGTGGAGACAACGATCGTGTTCTCGGGACATCTTTCATAGTAACGCGCATAAATCTCAGGCGTAATAGAAGCCTCGCGTTATTCGAGGATTGTCCAGGCGGCCGTTTTTCATCCGGTGGAGCAACAAAGGCATTCCCTCGGTGGAGGGCGATATTATCGTCCGCAATAAAGCGACAAAGTGGCAGACAGAGTTGTAGCGCGCGGAGCATCAGACAAGCGGAAACGAGGTCTAAATTTCGCCGTGGTGCGGTCGAAATAAAACCCTCGGCTG